GAGTAACGCACAACAACCAAAGACTCTGTGTTCTGCCAGCCAGGAGCCTCTCTGCTTGTTGCCGTAGCAACATGGGAGTTCAACTCAACGCTTGTCCGCACAGTCTCATACTGCAAGTCTGCTTGTACTTCTTGCTTCCTAGGATCCTGACCAATTTGCAAATAGGCATACGTTGCAAGGGAGTTCCTGTGGTAATGAACTGCAATTCTTGATGACCGATCTGTAAGATATAGCTGATTGCTGATGTTCATGATACTCCAGCCATCCTTCAGCAACTTGCCTATGGCGATGAGAGGGTCCACCACGTTCGCGACGACGACATTCTCTTTGATCTTTATCGGTGACCCGTCAGATGAGAAAAGAATCAAACTCAAGAGCCTTCTCCCAGCAATATGTGTTCGCTTTCCTTGTGCATCCTGTACGCCTGCTGCTTGTGCTGGGGCTGCGATTCCTTCGCCACGTAACCAAAGAGGTAACGAGGAAACATCAGCACCTGAATCCAAGATGATTTCGACTTTCCTGAGCGCAGAATTCGAAATGTAGAAGTTCTCGCTAATCATTCTCACGGTATCCTCGCCAGGTTCTGCAATCTTGTCTAACCACCATAGCATCAGACTATCTTCACGCTCTCCTGACATGTAGTTTTCTTCACCTGATGAAAGGTCAAACGCTTCGACACGCAAGACATTGCCAAAATATCCCGCTTCATACTCTTCTTCAGCTTCCGGGGTGAGCTCAAAGATTTGAGGGCGCTGGTCAGGAACTTCACCAATATGAACCATGGAAACTGGTCTCACAATTCTTGATGTACTTTGATTTGAGGATTGATTCCTGCTGACACTTGTAACACCACCTGCTGTTGAAGGAGCTGTACTTCCTGCAGTTGACCCTTGATCTTCTTGTGGAACATGTCTTGCATAACCTTCGTTCATGTCACGCTGTTTCTGCCTGCGGGTTGGTTCGTAGTGACCGGGCTTTCCACAATAATGGCAAGTGTTCGTGCCATAGCTTCCTTTTCCTTTGTTGTTGTAGCTGTTGTAGTTGTTGCTGTAGGATTTTCCACGGCCTTTTCCTCTTCCTCGTCCAAATCCTCTGCCTCGACCTTTTCCTCTTCCATAGCCTTTCTGGTAGCCATAGGAATTTCCTCCTCTTCCTGTTTGTTTTCCTTTGCTCTTTCCTTTTCCTTCGCCATTTCCTTTGTTGTTCTTTCCTGCGCCTTTTCCTTTCCCATCTTTTCCTTTACCTTTCACTCTTCCAACATCCATGTCTGCTTGACCTCCATGATCTTTTCCGGAGTTGATGAGGTCTGTTGTAATCCAACGTGTGTTCTGCTCACACGACAGGAGGAACTGACGTAATGTAGGATAGGTCGTCTTGGGAGCAATGTTCATCAACATGCGCTGACGCAACTGGCCTTCCTGCTGGTTGAGGATGATGGAAATCTTCAAGTCATCATGAACAAGATCTCCTGAGGCCTTCTCACACAGGTCAATGGCTTCTTCAAAGGTGAAGATATTCTCGAGGGTTGTTTTCTTGCTCTCAAACTTGAAGCTCGTCAAACTGTTGAGGAGGTGTAGGCTTCTTCCTCTTGTATACGGCTCATGCTCATCAAGAACCATTTTGGCGCTGAAGCTGCTTCAAGATCCGCAGGGGTCTTCCTTTCGTGTAGGAGGCCAAAATGGTATAAAGTTTTCTACCCGATTCCTGCTCTTCTGCGTTTAAACTGCTCATTGAGATAGGTGTGTCTCTGGCATTGTCAATCTTCACCATGCCTTCTGTAATCTTCTTGTCGAGGGCACCTATCCATGAAGCAAGCGCAAGCAACAGCAACCTCCTCAGCATCCAATGAGGAGATGAAAGAGTTAGTGAAAGCAGCAGTGCAAGTAGCAACAAGAACAAGCGCAGCAGTTCACTCCACAGCAGACTCTGTTTCAGGCCTTTGTCAGTCGCATCAGGAAGCGCAGCAGACCTTCAAAGAAAGCCACTTGCGCGCAGAGCAGACAGCAGCTGAAGCATTGAAGCAGAGAGAAAGAGAACATGGAGAAGTGGAGCGGCTTAAGATGATCAAAACCCCGGAAGTGTTTGGACCCAGCAACTACAAAGAAGAGCATGAAGGTTGGTCAGAGTTCAAGCACAACATGAAGTCTGCAGAGCTTGCACCAAGGCTGAAATCTGCTGCGCGTTCGCTGCCGTCTGCTGAGCTAGTTCTTGTAGTTGCTGGTCCATTGCTTCTGCTACTTGGGTGTTCATGCGCAGCAAGACCACAAAGAACAACATCTTCAAGCGAACACTGCAACGACGCACTCTGCCAACACAACTTCTTCTTGATCCATGCAACTTCTTTGTGTTTCTTTTTACTTTAGAGATGGCACACACATAATGAAGAACGATCCAAGCAACCATTCCTGCTGGAGGCACAATACGGTGAACATCATGCGCGCAAATTTTTTCTGATTGTGAAACATTGTTGAGATTTCAATGCCATAGCCGGACTCAAGGCTTTCCTGATACTCAATGATGATCTTCACATAGGGCTCGATGAACTTCTTGTAGATATAGTTCAGGACAAAGTTCTTGTTCTGGTAGTACTCATTCTCTTGAATCTCTACATCAGCATCGTTGTAGCATATTGGGGTTTTTATCGGGGCGACGCTCCATACTCACAGCCATGAGCTCCGCATGTTCTTGTTCTTCGACATGAACAACACCAGGAACAACTCCTTGCTCATCTTCCAGGGAAGTTCTTTTCGAGCCATCCTGAAAGGTAACTTTCTCTTCAACAACAATTGTATATTTCATGGACCGGGGTTCTTGCTCAAAAGGGGCAACCTCGTTCATCACAAAGCTTCTTGGTCCAACCTTGATGCAGGAGACTTCCTGCTGCGACAAGCAGGATGAAGCGGCAGAACGATCAAATCCAAAACCAAATCCAGCAAGTCTACCAAGTGAGTGCTCTGTGGTAACTCTTGTTCCTCTAGTAGCCAAACCATCTGGAAAGCAGAACTTGCAACCAGGCAAACTCTTGATTCTTGATTGCACGGCATTCTGTAGACCACGGCAATGTCGACGCTTGTGAGATGCTGTCTTTGAGTTGGCAACCATGATGCCTTCGAAGTTCTCTTCGTTCTTGCTATTACGAGTGGTTCTCAGGGCGAACTTCATGTCTTTCAGAAACGTCCACGACAAGGTGAGCAACAAAGCGCTCATTCCAGCTAGGCACATCATGTAGCCTAGTTTGGCCTCCATTCCCGGTTCCAGATTCAAACTCTGGTCCGAGGCAGTCTTCTTGGTACCAGTGGCAGCTACCATCGCTGCAAGGCTGATTTTTGTAGCATCATCGCTCCCTGGGATCTTGGGAGCTCCGCTACCATGTGAAAAACGCCGTAAAAATCCTTGTGCACTTCTACCGCACTTCACAGCACAACTAAGTGCACTGTTCTTTCTCTGGGAGTTGAGCCCAAAGCCTGCAAATGCACTCCAGCATTCATGCTGTTTCATGCTACTACTGAACATTTCACGCAACCACGATTTTTGCTATACTGTACTTGCTAGGACACTGTGTGTAGGATTAACACAACCTGGCACCCCAAACTCAGCAACAATCCATAACGAAAACCATCCTCACAAGCCTGGCCCCGCACGGCCACACAGTTTCACGCACGTCATCTGTATTTGCGTTCCGGATCTGAGCACACTCATGCTGCTGCCAAACTGCGAAGCAAACCGAAGCTCTAGTCAGCAAGGCAAGCGGCGCCACCGTTTTGACGCCTGATCAAGTCCACCGCCTAGTTCCGCAAGACGACCAGTGGCTTTGGTGCCAGAAACTCAGACCGCGATCTGGTGCTACTAACGCAACAGGAATTCTTCACCTGCACCTACATGTGGCCCATTTCCTTTTTTCCACCAGTGGTCATCCTTCGGCTGGGTCTCAATGAGTTTTTAGACATTGTGGGCTGCAAATATCAAAACTTTTTGGGACCTGTCAGCACTTTCGTTGCCTTGCACAACGGCAACAGCTCATCACCAAGGCTCCGTTATCATGAATCGTCCTTCTAGACCCCGCAAGCCGAAAGAGTCGGCTTAGCAAAACAAACTAGACGATCACGGAACTGAAATGAACTTCGCTTACTACTGGACCTCACGTCCACTGAGAGCGTGGCATCAACAAAAACCCAAAATTCAGGCACTGAAACGACAAACGTTCAGCATTCTTGTGCTTTGCTACAGGATGCTGCGAAAGTTTTCAAATTCTGACAGGCTACTTCTGCGGCTTGCGGATATGATGTGATTGCGGGGACGCTACTTGCAAAAAGCCGGGTGACATGTCGGGATACAGCGAAGTGTGGTAGCCGATCCATATTTCATGCTCAGCAAGAGACTCTGCAGGCATGCACGTTCACAGGCGTAGATAGATACGTATACCAACAAACAGCATGGCTTCGCACTCTTGGCGCATCATGCTTGACTCACTGGCGGCCTCAAGATGCATCGTGCTGGATTATGCCAACAACAAAGCAAGCTCATTGTGCGTCCAAGCATCTGCAACTCCTGGAGTGTGCGACGCAACGAGCGCCGCTTTGTGCGAGATCGATGAAGGGACCGTGCCTCCTGACGCGACCAGAGCACGTCTGTGCAGTTAGTCGCAGATGCCGACAACCGAACTAGACGAAGGAAAGAGGCCCGGGGCTCACATCTTTTTAAAGGGGCACGCTATCAATGCTGCAGAGCTTTCTGCAGGGAACGCTAGCGAATTCAGAGTAACAAGCTCTGACCTGAGCAAGCTGCAAACATGTCAGTGGGTCCGCCAACAAGGGCTGGCTTGCAGCCCGCTGTGTGCGAAGCGCGGCATTGAGACTGGCTATTAGCACCGATGCAGCCTGACACATTCTTAGGAACATCTGAGTTGAAGAAGCAGAACGCTGGGACGCGGAGACGCTGAGCTTCGAGGCCCGGTCTGCAGCTGCGGCGTGGCCCCGCCAGCGCCGCCAGGCTGCAGCCGCCGCACCCAGGTGCCGCAGCCCGGGTGCAAGCTGCGGGACCGCCTTTAAGAACCACTTAACACTGCTTTCCTGAATCTTCTTCTCTGCCTCTCGCCTCTCTGTACCCTTCAAAAATCTGCGCGAAGAGGGTTGCACTCTCCTCGCCTCATTGACACATCTCTTTGCAAATCAGTTCTTTCCCGGAGGAAGTAATGTGGGTTGCACTAACTGCCCAGGCACAACTCCTGGACTCCCACTCGCGAAGCAAGAAGTTCTCCAAGGTATCGTAGATAGCAGAACTGCTCAAGGCGGCCTCCCCTGGCTGCAGGTGAAATAACACAACTCAAATGCTCAAAGCTAAACTGTTGAACTAGTCCTGCGACAATCCCCGCAGCGCAGAAGTGCAGAATGGCAGGCCGTGCCTATCAGAACATCCAGCAAGTGGAGTAAAAGAACAGCTGAGCAATGCCTCAAAAACTATCCACTGCGCAATTTGGCTCAGATCCTCTGCACTGGGATCCATCCTCAGCTCCCCCGCCCGATTCATGGCGATCAAAGACGTTAAAAGAACACTTTGGTCATGATTCTGACCAGTGGCATCGCGACCCAGTCCTCCACCGCTTGTAGGATACGCGTGAGAAACTCTCCAAAAAAGTGGTCGACCCACTCCCTTGCAGACGATTTGCCCTGTCCTGTCAGTGCCCGCCGCACAGTGACCCAGCTCGCATGTAACCCAGCAGTGAAGTCCTACCTGTAACCTGGGAAAAAACAGCTTGCTGGGCCGCTTTCGATGCATCCAGCATGGCCTTCCGTGTCCAAACGCTATGCGATCCCACTGGGTCATAAAATGCTTCAAAATTCGAAGGCTCATCAATGGCTCATGATGTCCTGAAGCCCCTGGGGCCTGGGGGACTTCGACTTCCGAAGTGCCGCTCAGAGATGCCCAGAGATGCCGAAGGGCAGAAGACAAACCATCAAGGACCTGAGCAAAATCAGGTGCACCCTGTCTACCACTTTGAACCAGGTTCCTTGGAAACGAACGGACTGCAGGTTCAGGGCAGGTCACAGCTGCAGTGCTGAGGTCGCGGAAGACTCTTGTTTCCTCCTCCGCCAAGCACAGGCTGCACGGAAAATTCTGAAAATCTCTTGTCTGGCCTCTGACTTCACGAGAAAGGGAAACCATGTGACGAAGTTGCCATCGAGACGCAGGAGGTCCAACTGGATTCCAGAGGTCAGCGTACTTCCGCTCGCTTTGTATGTAACGAAGTCCTCGCCTCGAGGATATCCGAGAGAGGCGGAGGCCTGACCTGCACAAGTCCTCTGCATGCACCACAACTACGTTGTGTGTGCTTTTCCTTTGCGGGAAGGCTGAACACAACAGACATCTTAGGTTCAAGAACTGCTTGCACCTGACAATGAACTCTGAACGAGCAGCATTTGAACCGAACTTCGGCGTGCTTGGTTCTGCCGTCTCCAGACTCTCCGATGCAAATGAAGTGGCAGTCGTGACTGATAAGCTACTGCTCACAGTACCTGAGCAAAGGCCGGTACTGCAGGACCAGACACTGCGACACATGATGACACATGTTCTTTACCTCTAGAGCTGGTCAGATGGGCTCGAAGACATTCACACCTGAAAATATCTTCATCCAGGCACACGAACTGCTTTCCTCGCCGCTAACCTCACCATCACTGAAGTCCTCGCCACCTCCATCACCTGTAGCTTGGCATTCTCTGGATGCATAGAGGCCGAAAAGCTTGAACAAAAAGTCTTGTCAGGCGGCGAAGTCCTGTGAGTCGTGCGGCTTCCAGCAGTACCATCCAACGTTTGGCCGTGGCTGCATCAGCACATCCTCAATCTCAAACACCGTTTCACACCCAAGCCAGGCCTACAAACTCAACAAGCATGACAACGATGAACACAAATACAACTCTCAACAGGATCAATGAAGTCAAGCTGGTGAAGAAAGAACCAAAACCAATGCCGACCTCAAAGCCAGCCTGTGAAAAGCCTCCATGGCGTGCTGAAAGACTTGAAGCTAAAGCTAAAAAGACTCTGCCAAAGACAAGGATTCAATATGCAAAACTGCCTCTTCCACGGCCTGCTGCAACTTGCCTGTGAAAACCGATTTGTGGAAACACACTAACTTTTGGATCTCTAGGCCACGGGTGAGGTTTTTCAGATGTGCTTGTTGCATCCGTCTTTCGGGTACATGCTGGAAACAGCACTTGTTCAAGGCACTGGCCGGTAAAGAAGTGATCAGCTAATGCCACCGGTGCCATAGACTCCATAGACGTGTGCAGACATGCAGCAAGGCTGACCCACCTAAGACCAACGACCTAAACGTCCTACAGGCCAGCCTCCCACCGCGTTGTTAAATCTCAGACAAGGTACGCAGACGCCACACGCGGAAGCCGAAGTCCAGCTCCAACTCATGCAGATCAACTACCTGGGGCTGACATGAAAGGAAAGAATCTTGACACAAGGCCATGAAAAGCATCAAACATGAAGCATGAGTTGCAAAGACAAGGCAGAAGCTGATGCAAAGGCAAAAGCAAAAGCATTCTTTGAAGCAGGCCCTCTGACGCCCTCTGAGCTTCAAGAATCTGACGCAGGCTAGGTCATGAACATAAAACCTTGAGATGGTCCAAGATACTGATAGGTTCCTCACCTTGCGCAAGTCGAATGTCTTCTTGGCAGTGCTCGTAGGTGTCTGCATGTACCGAAGGAAACAACCTTTCAGCCAGGCAACACAAAGGTAATGCACGCAACCTAACATGCGTACCTTCACTATATTAGCATCTTCACTCAAAACTCGTCATGTATACAGTGATCTTTCTCGCGTCATTCACGAAGCTGGACTGCACCATCAAGTGTGCAAGAAAGAACGGTCTCAAGCGTCCTTGATTTTGATTGAGGAATCATGCGCCTCCTGGTCTTGTGACTCAGAACGGGCCACTTAGGCAACAGTTCTTGCACTTGCTTTCCACACTGGCCTTGCAAGCGAAAGTAGCGTCGCTGCCACCTGGAAAGTACACACTGCCCGTGATGAGACTGCTGCACCGCGTGGCTTCGCAGCCTGCCCGAGATCTTTCCCGAGCTGCGCTTGGCAAGCCAGCCCTCGTGGCTATGGCCCCGCTCTCCTCAAGCAATAGGATTAACAAAAACAGATGCACGAAAACATATCACAGCCTGAAGGTCCAGGGAACAGCGCTTGCGGTCTCACCAACTGCGCATCTTGTCCTGAGTCTGAGAGGTTGAGGACATTCATCTGAAACCCTGCGTGTATGGCCTTGGCCTCTGGTCACCCGCGAAGGGACAGAGCTGCTGCGGATGCCGTTTGGGATGCTCTTCTGAACGTTGCGAGAAGCAAGACGGTCCGCCAGGCTCTCACGGCGCCCAGAGCTTTGGGACTCAGCAAACATCGAAGCAGATCGAAGCACTTCAAAATCCTCTGGAGAAAAGTCAAGAGTTCTGCATCTGCCGGTAAGCAGCAGACCGCCGATCTAAGCATAATCTTGGAGGTCGTAATGGGAGCACGTATATTGGCCCTACAGCAATCTTACTCCTGTGCTAGCAATAGCTCGAGCCTTGGCATCAAAAGCACGCAGTGTCAACAACATGGAATTATGGCAAAACATGCAACTATTGGCGCTCTTCCTTTTTCTGTTCATGTTGCATGCCATTTTGCATGTTGAAACTGCGTGTGAAAGGACGTGATTGAGACTGTGTGAGACCGGAAATCTCTACAAAGACTGCATGTAGTTGCGACCCACACACAACTTTCAAACTCGCGCTGCTGAACCTGATGCACAAGCTGCCGAAGCTCGTTGATTTCAACCAGTCGTTCCCTTTCTTCTGCTTTCTCCCCTGTAACCTTTTTTCTTGATAGTCCCGCAATTATGGATTTTGATTTGCAGCCTCTGGAAGCCGAGAGCCTTTTGCCCAACCGCCCAGTGCGCACAGCGGCGCACAGACGCGATCTGGGGACCATCCAAAGGCGATGAGCTGCGGCCCTACGGGCCAAACCCTGTTTTGAACCATCTCACTCCAAAAACCAACCAGGCTCAGGGACCCCCCTCCACCATTTGGTCTTGATGCATGCATTGGTCGTCTTCCAATTGAAGCCGCACAGTGATGCCTCTGACTAGCCATCATAAGCTACCCATGCGCACCTCTAGGACCGCTGGCTTGCCAGCAAAGGGGCGGAGGGCTTCCTCCAAGTAATGACACGCTTCCAATTTGTGGCAACTTTGCTGTAGGACTCCATGTGGTCAGCGAAAAATACCTCCGCCGCAGCACATCCAAATTTGCCGTCCTCGGCCGAATGGCCACACCGATCTCCCAGTAGAAGACCAGCCAGCTCTTCCTCCTACAGTTGCACATTATGACCTTCTCTGGCCGGGATATCAATTCAGCAACAACTTCCTCTAAGAAGTTTTCGTCGTCATCTTCATCATCCTCTCCACTCTCCGCACTGATGGGGGAAGACTCCTCAACAGCAAAAGAGCAAAGCTCAACCACTTGCATATTTACGAGTCAAAGATAACACGAGCCACGCGCAACACAGCGTCTGGAACTAATTAATACTCGGGGCCTCCGCCCAATGAGGACCTCCCCTCTCTGCTCTCAAATCTCTCTTATGTCTCTCCTTCTCCTCTTCCTCTCTCCTCTCGTAAATATATTCCTTTCATTCCTCTCCACTCGACTCCTCTCCAATTGAATCCTCTCCACTCGACTCCTCTCCATTCGTCTCCTCTCCTCTTCTCCTCTCTCTGCTCTCTCTCCGTCTTCTCTCTCCTTTCTTGTTTTTCATCTCTGCTTGTCCTCTGCACCTCGTCCACTTTCTTCCACTCTCATCCTCTTCACTCCTTTCCACGCCTCCTTCCCTTACTCTCCCCACTCTCTTTCTCTCCTCTCCGCTCCTCTACTCCTCTCCACTCCTGCCTCCCTCTCCTTCCCCTCGCTCTTTCCACTCTTTTCTTTCTCTCCTCTCTGCTCCTCTACTCCTCTCCGCTTCCCTCTGGCTCTCTTTTCTCTTCTCCTCGCCTCCACTGGTCCTCTCCACTCCTCCAATCTTGTCCACCCTTCTCCACTCTCCTCCACCCTTCTCTACTCATCTCCACTCCTCCTCTCGTCTCCTCTCATCTCCTATCTACTCCTCTGCTCCTGTCTAATCTACTCCACTCCTCTCCACTCCTTTCCACTCCTCTCTATCCTCTCTACTCCTTTCTACTCCTTTCTACTCTTCTCTACTCCTCTGTGGTCCTCTCTACTCCTCTCTTTCTCCGTTGTTCTCCACTGTTCTCCACTCACTCTTCTCACCAATCCTGCTCACCTCCCCACCTCTCCACTCTCCACGCCTCTCCTCTCTCCTCTTTATCTTGTCTGTAATCCTTTTTTTTCAGCACTACAGATCGATGCAAAGATTGAGGAAAGCCTGGCCCAATTTGATCAATGCGTGGACTGTGCATACGACTGATGCGCGGTCCTCTTCAAGCTCAGGGTTCAATTGCTCCAGCAAGTATTCAATCCTCGGGAATCAAGTCAACTAACCCTCAGCACAGATTCAGAAAGATACCGCGAGCTCGCATACAAATGCTGTTTTGCCTGTGCTTTTTGAGATTTGGTCTAATTTAAGCAGAATGCGAGGCGCTCCACGCTCCACGCCAGAGATCGACTGAATGGGAGGACGCTCCGTGCCAGATCTCGATTCCCAATCAAAAAGTGAGGGCATCGTTCCACGTCGAGGTACAATGTTGGTTCGCATTCCACGCAAGAGCTTGGTTTCGAGCGAAATCTAGGCATGCTCTATGCGAGGGCTTGGTTTCATATTAAAACGTGAGCCCGCCTCAATGGAGAGGCAGCACGATTTTTGCGCCATACTGTGAGGATGCTCCATTCAAGCGCCTCAACATGTCAGGACGCTCCACTTGAGCGCAAGATTTCAAGCCAAAATTGAAGGGTTGCGGAGGGGTGCCTCAAAGACACATTGGCTTTCAGACATTGTGCAGGGATTGGGATTGCTTTGTTAAGAAAGGGGCCTGGCTGGAGTCGAAGACCCCAAAATCAAAAAGAAATGGATGAAGATGAGAGCGTCCATGATGGGATTTGTAAGGCATTGTGCTTGTTACTCCCTTTACTTAAAGTTGACCCGGGTGAGCAGCCCCTCCCAATTTGCAAACATGAACATAGCTGAGAAGGCGTAGGCTGCTGGTAGCTTTAGGTGGGATTCAACAAGCATTGCGCGCGGGCCAACAAACAGCGGGGGATTTGGGGGCAGCCCTTTCCGATTTGCGCAACATACTCATAAACAAGGGCATCCAGGATTTTGCCAGGTTTTCATGCGATCTGCCTTGGTGGGGCGCAGTTTGCTTCCCCCTCTGACGATGAAAAGAACACATTCTGATGCGATGTGTAAGGCAATTTGTGCTTGCTACTTAAATACAATCGCAGGCGGCACATCCGCAAAGCATGGACGGCGAGGAGCGAGTAGGGTCTTGGTAGGTTGTTTATCGAACGGGTGTGTAAGGTGTCAGGTATTGCAGAGGAAGCAGGAAAATGAGCGGCACAGCACCCCGAGCGACAAACAAAGCTAACAAAAGGCAGGTTTTGCTGGGTTGAAAGCATTTTGCACCAAGACCAATCTATGTTCTAGACTCAATCATGGACCTTCGGTGGAAGGAAGAAACCCTGCACCACCCTCTATACGCTAAATTCCGTGAATGGCAGCAGTTCAAGTTTAAGTGTCTCAAGTGGTGCCAGATTTCCCAAGTCCACGAGAGATTGCGTAGATCACGCACCACAAGAAAAAATGATGGAAGCCAAAGGAGGCAAGGAGCCAGGCAGTCAGAAGCCGGAAGCCCGCGGTATGGGAAGCTGTAAAAATCAAGCCGAGGGGCCAAAAGCCACCCAGCCAAAAAGAACAGCGGCCACGAGGCCTGGGGACCAGGAAGCCCAGAAGCCACGAAGCCAAGAAACGCAAGAACAAGAATGCAAGCCCAAATTGTGAGGACGCTCCACGCAACAGGTCAAGCCAAAATGCAAGGATGCTCCATGCGAGATTTTCATGTAAGCAGCTTGGTGGGGGGGCAAAAATTCGAGGTCACTCCATGTGAGAGCTTGCCAAAGTATGAGGATGCTCCACATGAGATCGCCCAAAAAAGCAACACAAAACACTAAAAACTGAACAACGAGTCAAGGCATCAACTTGAGCCAAATCTCTGCCGAACTGCGATCTCATCGCCAAGGCTACTTGCCTTCAACAGAAGTCCATAATCCACAGAACATGTTTCCGTAGCAACTTCCACGTTCTTCTTGCAAGCGATTGCCGTGGACCCGATGTGAACTGATGGCATTACCAAACAGGCCTGACGATGAATCGAACGAAGCGCGGCTTCCAAGCCTGCATTGCGAGCTGACAGTTCAGGGTTTGGGGCTTGTGGCTTGGTTTACCATGATCTGGAGGTTGCTGAAAATGATTTACGTGCAGCAGGATCTCTTTATTTTTGAGAAATGCCCATCTAGAACTTTGGGGGCCCCTGTCCAGTACAGACATTAACCCTAGGAACCCCAAACCCCCGAACCCGCAACCCTGTGTCACGGTGTGTCTCACAGGCGACGTGATTTGAATCTGGCAAAGCGGGGTTACCAGAAGCTGAATTTCGAGGCTTCGTTGAGGTCAAACCGCTTATACCCCGACTTCTGACTATCCATGAGCCTCCTGATAAATGTATACTCTTGAGTCTCAACCCCCACACACATTCCTCAACTGTAGCCCTGCAACCTGCAGGTACATAGGCTCGTCATCTTCGGCATCTGCAGGATCCTCATCGGTAGATTCGCTGAGCATGCTGCGCTCCCCGTCATTGAGCTCGTCTGCATCTTCCTTTCCAGTAACCGTCATAGAATCTTCTATAAGCATCCCCCTGCTCTCTGCTCCATTTTGATCTACCAATCACCAGCGCGGGTTCCCTCTTTACGCGGGGACACGGAGACATCGAACCCCCATTCCAGGTGATGCCTAAGCTTCTGTGAGGTGGCGGATCTCTACAACCTAAACCCTGAACTCACTTTTCACACTTATGCCCTCCACTGAGGCACCCGTCTGGCTCAACACTGTCCCCCAAAACCCATCGGTCCTCATGCCCTTCGTGCTGGTCCTCCAGAGAAAGAAATGGGTTTTAGGTCTAGGGTTGAGCCGCCCAATTTCAAACTCGCTGGCAGGATGGCAGGCCTTAAGCCCTGGAGTTCCCTCTTCTCCTCTTGAAAGGAAAGGAACTCATAAAGACAACAGGACTGTTGAAAAGTGGCTTTACACTTTATGGGGCTCCGGGTTAATTTGGGGGAGTGGAAACCCTGCACCTCCTGATGATACATCTGCGGTTGTGGATGCTTTCGCTTCTGAAACTTCCGAAACTCCACCTCGCTTGGGGATCTTGGACAAATGTTCAGTAAGCTTTTGGGTTTAGGATTTAGGGTTAAGGATTTAGGGTTTAGGCGGTTGGGATGGTT